ATAATGATGAATTTTATTAATTATATCGTTAAATATTTCCAAAATTTCTAAATTTAATAATTTCTTCTCTGTTTTTAATATAATATCTTAACATAAAATTAAAACACAACACTGTTATATATTTAATTTGATACATTGCTCCTTATTATCATATTTCTTAGAAGAAAATAATTTTAAAATAACTATTTCTGTTTACAAAATATTTATATTTCAAACAATTTTATTTCAAATTTATAGTTCTTCACATGCTTTTAAAATTTTATTATATATACCAAATGTAGGTACCTACTCTACTTCCATTCAAGAGGGTATAAGCAGTATAAGTGCCCAACATCTGGCCAACAGACCTTTTTCGTTACCTTCCTTTCACTGACAAAGAATGTAGAATTTAGATGCAAATAACATTATTCTGAATTTCTCATAGTTATATAAGTATGTATATAAAATAAAAAAAGTATTAAATTAAATGTATGTCGATTGTATTGACAAGTATGGATATTAAATTTGTGTGCAAAAATGCAATTATTAAATCTGAGTAACTTATTTTGCCATACAGATTTATAATTGCAATATTTACATTTTTCATTAATTTGAGGTATTAGGCGAAACGTGTTATTTATTCGTATATCTAATATAGACTATACAGACCATTATTTTTAATTATGAGGTCTGTAAGATGTAATTTAAGGTTTATCGTTGTAATTGTATTATATTTAAATTCTTTAAATAAACTTCTGTTGATCGAGACTGGCTGAATGACAATTGTCCAAGCTTCAAAAAAAATTATTTTTTGAAACTTTTAATTTAATTTTTAAATGAACCTTTGTCAAAATATACTGAGTAATTATAGTACAATTACATCAAATATTGTTCGGACAACGCAATTAGAAAAATAAAAAGTTTATTTTTATTTTTTACTACTTAAAAATTATAACTTTATCTAGACGTCATCTGTGGGTTCGACATTCCGGAAATTCGACTCTTCTAGATTTAACAGAGAATCAAGTTGGTCAAAAATTTCTTTGCAGCTATCATTTTACTGATAGCAATATAAAATCAATAAACCAAAACGGTAAGAATATATTAAAACCTACAGCTATTCTTAAAAATGAGGTAACCTCTGCTATATTCGAAGCTTTGCAAAATAGAACTGATAATTCTTATTCAACAATTAACAATAAATATTTATTCAGTAATGACTCTTAATTAAATCTCAAAATTCCTATATCACTTAAAAGTGAACCATACCGTCAAAATCTAAATGATGCACACATGTCTTCGTCGTTGGATTTTTCAAATTGTGACCAAAATTTTTCTTCATTTTCTAATAACTACCCTAACTTAAGCGATAATTGTATTCAGAAAAATTCAGTCCAAATCCAATTAAATAAAAAAAATGAAGAAGTTAAAAATGCACAAGATGCATTAAAACGATTAAAAACTACATCAGAGTTAAAAATAAATAAAATTGTAAACAAATATGAGGCAAAAAGTAAATCTAAAAACAAAGTGATTAATAGGTATAAAAACCAAGTATATATGTTATATACAACTTAACTCGTAAATGAAATAAACGTACAAAAGCTTCAAACGAAGCAATAAAGTTTAAAAAATTATTTAATAAACTTGATGACGAAATAAAAGTATTTTTAGTTAGGCAAATTAACCATATTCAGAAAAGTAAATGGACTGAAAAAGATAAACAGTATGCTATATCTTTATTTTATAGATCTCCAAAACGTATTGCTACCTTCGAGAGAAAAAAAAACATTTTAAGTTTCCATTGCGTAAGTAACATTAGAATTTGGATTAATAAGTTAGATTTAAAACCCGGTAAATGTAACACTTTGTTGACATTATTACAAATTAAATCGTCGCTAATGCACTCCAAAGAAAAGGAATGTGTTTTATCGTGGGATGAAATGAGCATAAAAAAGTGGCTAGATTATAATACTAAAAAAGATATCGTTGAGGGGTTCACATATTTGGGAGAACTAGGTCGCTCTCCAACAGAAGGTAATCACGTTTTAGCTTTCATGTTAAGAGGTACACAAACTGATTGGAGGCAATCTATTAAGTACTATGTCGCCCATAACTGTGTACCTGGAAAAAAACTAAGCAATTTAATTCTAAATGATTTAGATTTCTCTCAAGAAGAAGCCGGTTTTAAAGTTAAAAGTGTGGTTTGCGATATCGGCCGTAGCAGTCAAACTGCGATAAAAAATTTGGAATAACGCCAGAAAAACCATCCGTTGAAAAATTTGGTCGAAATTTTTTTTTTAATTATGACCCTCCTCACGTAATTAGATGAAACTATAACGCTACTATATAGCAATTCCGAATTTAATTGATTTACAAAAATCATTCGATGAATTAAATGAAGTTATCGAAGAAAAAAATGATGGACAAATAAGCTTTAATAATAAACGTATTGATTCTGTAACTGATTTAGAGGTTTGCGCTTTTATGGATGCAGGGGATGAGATGTCAGAAAAACATGATGCAAATATTAAGAATACTATTTATTCTAATGATCCTTTAAACAAATGCTCACGGTTTTCAGATGCACAAGATTGTAATAGCGATAATGATGATTCGATAATATCTTATAAGGAAGTTGATGACTTTGTCGAAGATGAATTAGATAGTACTTCTAGCTTGAATGAAGTTTTTGATTGTAAATCATTTGATACAAATGTGACCATCAATGAGGAACTTTCAGAAACGAGTTTTAAATGTTTATCAATATTTGAAAGAGTATCAAATAATGCATCTTCGACTGGCTCAACTTCTCTTTATCTCAATTCACTCAAGTACCTTGCCGGATATTTTGCATACAAATGTCTAAAAAAACTAATTGTGAAAAGTGTGAAAATTATTTTGTTCATAAAAATGTTAATTTTATTTCAATGACAGATCTTTTATTATTTTTTAAAGCTTATAAAGTTTCTCAAAATACTAACAAACTTGGTAATCTTTGCGTACTTTGTTTAAAAAGTTGATTTTAAATGGTATAAAAAAAATTAAATGAAATCAATCCATCATTTTTAATCATTGACGACTCTTGTAAATCACATCGACAACGGTTATTAGAATTTTTAGTTATCAATAGGTCATCAATAGGTAATGTAAAAAAGCAATTTCAATTTTAGAATAAAAATTTCTTAAATATTTGCTCCGTGCGTAACTCACGCGACACCTACCGCCTTCATCTGACAGTTTTGGACCCCCCAATTTTCAGGTTAAACATATGACATATGTTTGACATTGTTAAATACATGCGAAATTGACAATTATTAATAATTAGTTTTTTAATTATATTTTTTCAGTTTATGTACAAAATAAATGTAGTATTAAAACTGGGTTTCTCACAATTCATCATAATATATCTTTTCAACCCAAACGGAAAAGAAATGGAAAAATCTAGTACTGGAAAATTAAGTTTTTCACGTGAAAGACCATATAATTAAAAACAATAATAATAAAAGTTATGATATAAAAGCTAAAGTCATCAGGCAGTTAGCTTGAAGCCTTATGAAATATTATTTAAGGTAAATTATTAAAATTTTTCCTATTTCAATAGCATAAAAACGAAATTATGTGATATTTACTTTTTCATGCTAATAGCACAAATCCATTTTTTTCTTTTCTTTAATTTATATGTAATCTTTGGGAACCTATAAAAACTACACTCAATATTTTTGCTATTATTAGCACAATTAAATACGCAACATGTATTTGTACACATTTTTGATAAAATTTATGCGTAAAAAGATAGGTCCAATTAGGTCATATTTCGCCGCTAAGCACGCTGGCATCGTTTCAAGGTACCCTTACCATGGTCACGCACGGAGCGAATACATTCAGCTATAACAATTTTTAGATTATTTTCTTCAATACCTTATCTATTTGTTCAATTTTTTTTATGCTTTTATTTCACTGCTTTATATTTTAAGTTATACACAGAATGTCATTAATATTATAAATATTATTATTTTTCCTTTTAATAATATTACTAATACCTTTATTAGTTAATTATGTTTTAGTACTAGTTGTTATTTTAAAAGATTAAATAGTACCCATACAGCGTAAAAACTTTCACATAGACTATTCATTAAAAGTTACTGTTAAATATTTCAAAAATAAATCAGGAATGCTTTTTGTTCTTATTAAAAAATTATGGATGAAATGGAAGTTTCGGCGAAATGGAAAATTTCATAATTTAGTAAAAAGTTTCATTGAATACTTTTTTGAACAGGACATTTGTTCAATGAAATAATTTGAAAAATTATCTAAAAAGTTTGACGAAAAGTCCTGAAAAAATTAAATTTTTGGTTGAAAAATTTTGAAATTTTTTACAAATGTTTCGTTAATTTTTGGGCAGAAAAACAGTATAATAAAAAGTTATGTGACGGTGTTTCGTAATGTAGGATATGTGTATGAATATTTTTAATTCAAAGTTATGAAATTAAAAAAATAAATACTTTGAATATTGTAAATATCATACATTTTTAAGTTTTAAAATTAAAAATTTAACAATTTAATATATTAAAATTAAAGATTTTATTGTGAAAAAGCAAAAAAAAAAGACAGTTTGCAAATCAATGGCATCGAAATTTGTTTAGGCGTAGATGCAAAGTTACATAAATAGCTCGGTTCGTACTCCTTTCCCACTTCCCCCTAACTACATATTTCATTAAGCCGACGGCCACGGCACCACGCTTTGGGTTTATGCAGCCACCCTCTTAAGGAGTGTTTTGACGTATAAACCGTAACCAAATGGCCCATTTGAACTGCTCTTCTATAAGCGTCTATATTCTTTGGTAGAACCATTGCCCGAATATTTTAGCAGTCAATATTTCACAACATTGTTAAGATAAATAAATATAAACAAAAAAAACTATTTTTGACATATCAATTCTGACACTCTGAGAATATTTACAAAATTAGTCATTGTTTTTTCACTTCCACCATTTTGTAATAAATAAAACTTGACTTACCTGTCTGTAAAACATTGTGAAACTGAATAGGCTCCGTTTGTCCACATTTTCTCAAAACGATTTCTCTGGCTGTGACGGGTACTCCTAATTGTTGATTCTTAGCAAGCGAACTGTTCCTTTGTTGGTTTTGATTTAACGAAAGACATCTAAAACTATCTTCCAAGCTCGCCTCAAGGATTTGATCTGGTACATAACCTGGTAAAGATGCATACGTAGTAATGCACATACAACTCAAATCAGAGTTTTCTTCGCAAAGATGCATGCAATGTAAATTTTTTTCAAGACGCGCACACTCCTTCAATGGGATGCGACTAAATGAACGCTCGCAAGATACAAATTTAATATATACCTTTGAACACGTGAATCAGATACGCAACTTCTAACCTTTGGCTTGTGATTCGGTTTAGGAAGGACGTGGTCGTGTAAAATGTTGACTGTTGGCAATATGCGCTGTCGCTTTGCTGCGTAATATCAATTGGTCGGTGCCCATTCGTTCAAATGTGTTGTAGAATAGCCCAATTTATTTTTTAACAGAATGCGTCATATTAGACGGCATTATTGCTTAGGCCAACTGGAATTCAATGAATGCAAACGGTTTAACGGTCGGCGAAGGAAGCCGAATGCTTAGGTCAACAAATAAATAACTGCATTGCAGGCCGGAATATAATAAAGTGTATATTTTACAGGTTTGTTTTCAATTAACAATAATATTGAAAAATAAATAGGTATTTTTCATGGTTATTTTAGTGTCATTACTAAGGTCTTTTCATATGTATGGAAAAATGTCTTACCATTGCGCCGATACATAAGTAAAAGTAGGAACATAATATTGTGGATGTAAGAAACATGAATAATGCAGTCTATTTGGCTTCTGAGGAAGCAATAATTTTTTGTATAGCTAATTATAACCAATGACGTATAATAAAGAACCGCGTATGATACAAAACAAGGGTCGTCCAAACAAGTCAGGGTCCAACATTTTATTTTAGTTTATTAAGGACCAAACAGGTCCTTTTTGAAATCGTATCTTTGTCAGTTTGCCCCTCTGTGCAGTAACTCTTGAAGAAACGCCAGGAGTCTTAAAATTTGGCTCATAGGATGAAGATCTTTATTAAATTTTAAATCAATAGGTCAAAAGTGGCAAAAGTCTCGTATAACCCCGGTGAGGGAGGACGTGTTCTCAGGTCCTTAATAAATAAAAATACAATAAACACAATGTATGTGAGTTATGTCTTACTATGTACAGTGTATTTTATTCTTTATAATGATCCGTAATTATGGTTAAATGGAGACGTTCCTAAACAAATCCCTAGATATTAAACGGTCGACAAAGGCTTTCGTTAGGTCCAACCAAGTAGGTATGTTGGGTCCTTTGATACTCAGTTGTACAATATTATTTTTTTAGTATTTCTTTTTATAAATCTTTTATAGAAACTTTCGTCCCATATTTTTCCGTACATTTATTATTAAATAAACAACTAAATATACTAAATATTTATACTGAAATTAGTACCTACTGGTATCATGATACATATTAAGAAAGCTATGAGACATTTGATCACAAAACTTATCGATAATGTAGTGATAGTACCTAGAAGATAATTCGGACATAAATTATGAAATACACGTCACAAGCAAAGGGGTTCTGAGATTGAAATAAGTACATCGAACACATTACAGATGGCCAGAGATACACTTTGCCCCAAATGATTATGCAGGGAAAGATCCAAGGAAAGGGAAGGGTAGGAAGAAGTAGAATATCATGAGACCGATACGGATGTACACCAAATGCAATTTTTAGAGCAGCCGTCTCTAATGTCCTAATTGCTATGATAATTGCCAACCTCCGTCGCGAAGACAACACTCGAAAAAGAAGATATTAACATAAATAAAATCATGATGAAAGAATGGATGATGATTTACACCTAGGTGCAGGTCTAAAGTACCTTTTGAGTGTACTTTTGCCAACGAGAGGGATTGGTAGAGGAAGCACTTATTTTGTTAATTAATTTATTTTGTTAATTGAACTGTTAAAACTGCAGAAGGATCGCAATGTACAATCTTGAACATAGTGGCTTTAATGAGTGGACAGCAATGATGTCAGATAACTTTTTATATTTTGAATAATCTTATACTGTTATACATATATAAATATGTGTGTCTGTGCGTGTGTATAACAGAAGTCTTTAAGTCTTTACTGAACACCAAAAAAGTATTACATCCAAAGATCCAGAGCAACGCTCAGAGGATAAAGAAATAGAAAAAAAAACACTAAATGCACCATTCCAATAGACATGCCGATAAAAAAATCTAATAAGTGAAACCAGAAGTTTAATCATAAATAAACTTAACATGAAGTAAGCCCCGAAATATGATCTTATCACAGATAGCGTGTTACAAGAATCTACAGAAAAATGCTTAAATTAAGAACATATATATTCAATGCTGTCCTCAAACTTGGATACTTCCAGAGGATCTGGAAAGTAGCACAAATAATAATCCAACCTAGCTACTAAGCCAAGCAAACAATTAGAAGTCATCTCCTATCGGCCGATTAGTATGCTTCCATCATCTTTGAGAAAATATACTTAAAAAAGCTAAAATCTATAGCAGAAATTGTGCACTTAATTCCAGACTATCAATTTGGGTTTCGAAATAAACATGGTACCAAAGAGCACGTATACAGAATCGTAAACAAAATGCATGACTTTCAACAAAAACGATACTGTTCTGTTGCCTTCATTGATATGTCACAAGCGTTCGACAAGGTCTAGTATTTTGGACTCTGCTACAAAAGTAAGAAGCTACTACCATACCCTCATTTCCTGCTACTCCAATTCTACCTAACCAATATATGCTTCCTTGCCAGGCAAAACAATGAATATTCTTGCTTGAATTCCATCGAATCAGGAGTACCATAAGGCAGCGTACTCGGAGCCTTTCTGTATCTGCTGTATACCAGTGATCTTCCTACTACCCCAAAGGTTACAGTAGCCACATTTGCAGACGACACAGCTGTTCTATCCTCACATGTCATGAAAACCCAAAGTGGCATCAGGCAACTACAAGCCAGTCTCAACATGAGTCGGAAATGGCTGTCGAAATGGCGCATGAATGCGAATGAACTAAAGTCCACCCATGTAATATTCACACTCCATAAAGAGATTTGTCTATCAGTACAATTAAATAACAACAATTTACCTCAAGCCGCAGATGTAAAATACTTGGGAATACAAGAGACTAACATGGCATAAACATATATTCATAAAACGCAAGCAGTTAGGATTAAAGCTAAGCTGTATATAGTAGATCATTGCAATCGGCAGAAAAGTTGTTTCCAGAGAATCAACTACTGGTCTATAAAGCCGGTTTAAAACCAACTTGGACCTACGGCTTCCAGCTCTGGAATTCATGTAGTTAGCAATAGTTACACTATAAAACAGAGTGCTTAATGAAATAACCTGTACAGGTCATATCCTTGCCACCAAGTCAAGAAGAGATATAATAAATCTTTAAGGTAACGACACCAATACTCTCTGAAATAATAGACTTCTTATAATGTAATAATAAGATTATTACCTGTGCACTTTTATGTCTAGTATTAAATTTAAAGAGGCAAGGGAGGAATTAAACATATCCAGGCTGCGTCCTGACTGCGTAATATTGGAATCTGGACAGGAGTAGGCTTTGAAGAATTTTGAAACAGAGAAATGTTTGTCATCATAACCGATAATTTCCAATGATGGAGACAGCATATAAATCAGATGAAAGAAACCAATGATATGGATGGAACCGTACATACCAATATAAAAGTCAAAGTAAGAACCTATAATATATCGCAGCCTCAAAGAACATGATCGTAGGAAGCATATGTTTTCTACACAAAAAAAAATACATATGGGGACTTGGACCTCGCTTGATGGATTAACGAACAACCAAATTAATCATGTGATCATAGATGCTAGACACTTCTCCAACTTTATGGATGTCCGCACCTATCGAGGCGTCAATATTGATTCAGATCATTATCTAATTGTCACAGGAATTCGGGCTAGAATCTCAAATGTGAAGAAGGAAAGAAGTACCAAAACAAGGCGCCTTAATATTGAACTTCTCAAAAATCCGCAAACCATAGAAAGGTTTCAAAACTATATCGAAACTAAATACATAACTACAAAAAATCTAATAATTAATGAACAATGGGAAATGTGTAAAAATTATATTAAAGACGCAGCAAATAACATTCTAGGACCGCAAAGACCACCACCACGCAATGAGTGGTTCAATGCTGAGTGCGAGGACATTATAAGAAGAAAGAACAATGCATATAAACTGATGCAGCAAAGAAGAACCCGAGAAAAAGAACAAAAATATAAACATCTCAGAAGAGAAGAGAAATACATCCATCGGAGAAAAAAGCGAACTTATGAAAATAGAATATTGGAAGAACTTGAGGCATTAAAAAAGGAAAATCAAACAAGAAAATTCTAAATAATGCAAGAAAAGAATTTAAACCAAGGATCGGACTATGTAAGGATAAGGAGGGCATATACTCAATACAAAAGAAGAAGTATTGAAAAGGTGGGTGGAACACTATAAAGAACTACTTACTATCGAAGTAGAAGATCCTAATCAACCACCCCCAGGAACAAACAACAATTCACCATTGGAGCCTCTATCAATTCAAGAAGTATGGGATGCAAACAAACACCTAAAAAATAATAAATCTCCAGGAAGTGATGGTATACTAGCTGAACTTATTAAATGTGGAGGTGCTACTTTGAATAATCATATATATAAAATCATACTGAGAACCTGGAATGATGAACAAATCCCGGAAGAGTGGTGTATTGGGATTCGTTGCCCGCTACACAAAAAGGGTGATTTTATTTTACACAATTGGAATGTAGAAACTATGGGGGAATAACCCTCCTTGATACAGCATACAAAATATTTTCGAATATTTTATATGGTCGCCTGAGTGCATATTCAGAGGAGCTTCTTGGAACATATCAAAGTGGTTTTAGGCGTGGTCGATCAAAAACAGACCAGATCTTTGTGCTAAGGCAAATACTGAAAAAAAACCAATGACTTCAATATCGACACACATCTTTTCGTAGATCTTAAATCGGCCTATGATAGTGTCCTAAGAAATAAATTGTATGAAGCCATGGATGAATTCCACATCACCGATA